ATATTATATTGTATAATGTAAATAATTTTGTACAGTGCAGCGAGAAATCACACATATCGAATCGTGTCATAGGCATTTTATTACAAAATGTATTTATTTATAGGACAATATTCGCTACCGTATGCTACACGATGTACAATCGTGTCCTTTATTCGAACACTGTATTTACCCTTCTTTGATGCTTTTCACACCTTAAACCAACGTAGTAAACCATTATTTTTTGTAGATAAGATTACTCTTCTATTTAAGTGCCTGCTTTTGTATTATCCAGCTTGAGTCTTGAATTGGTGATTGCCGAATAAACATCTCAACTTTCTGACATGGTTGCCGGTACTGACTCTGCATTTTAGTATGTTTCAGTTATAGTCTATACCAAGTACACATTTTGGAGGTTCCACCGAGATTTAGTATAGAAGGCAAACTGAAAATGTTTGATGAAAGCGATATTAAGATGCAAACATCATGGCTGAGGAGAGGCAGAATAAGATAAACGCTGGACGTAGGTAAACTCTTGTTAAAATTCAAGAAGAAAAGCCAAAACTATAATAAAGAGAAGAGGAAAAACAAAATACAAAATGGACGTCAAATACTACTAAAATCCTAAGAGAACAATGCAAAAACTGTGAAACTTGATGTAAAGATCGAAGTGCAGCTAAACCATTTGAATGAAAACGAGTTAACGGGCTTGCAGCACAAATATGAAGTTACTGAAGTTACCAATTGTTGCCTTCCTAATTTGCAGTATCAGTCGAAAAAGAATGTAAGTAAGACACTAAAACCATGCCCAACAAACGATGTTTGCTGTATACGACAGAGGAAAGTTTGGATATGACAATTGTAATCGTGTTTAGTGCAACGGAACAACAGGACCACGGATTTTTAAAACAATATCGTTTTGGTACGTAATGCAACTACATCTGCACCTATGCTTTGTAAATACAGATGAAGAAGAAATTCCTGGCGGACACCAAACTATTGTATAAAACTGAAACTAGTAGAGCTTATAAAAAAAAAAATTTTGTAACCACTATTTAAATACAATACGTTTTTATAAATTTTAGATTAAGTTTTTATGCATTGATCAATTAATATTTTAAGATTTTTATTCATTATTACTAAGCTATACGCAAAGTGTGTATAATATTTTTCGTTAGTTAGGGCGTAATTTACATTTTTGTTCACCGTTTTGTGGAGGAATAGTAGTTATGATTTGTGTTCTTGAGTAGATGTTGTAATCACATCAGTGCTGCTGTATAGTGTGATTCAGGAGTAATAAACAGTACTGTGGGGGTCGTCAGTTTGGTGTAACTGTGGGTTGCGACCGTAATTTGTAAACAACGTCGATAGGGAGGCGGTTAAATTGCCTTTTGCTAACTGAGAATGCATTTTGTATCTTCTGTTGCTTGACACTACAATGTACAATTTTGTTATAACTTTTATTTGACATTGTTTGTATTAGTTAAATATTGTTTGTAATAATTAAAGATAAAAGGACTGCCATGTGTGGCTAAATGATTTAAAGCTTCCAAACGTACAAATAAACTTTAATGTTATGATAAGTGATACTGTTTTTTTTTCTGTCATTGATCTTTTTAGCTACTTCTTTAGACGATTATGTTATAATAATATTTTTTCTGATTTTTATCTTTAATGATGAAATAATGATGTTTAATTACCATTTTAAATATATATATATTTTTTTTTGCATATTGGTAAACTATTATTATTACAGTGTTATTCCTGTGCTGTAACACGTTTTGGTTTAATTACTGATTTGATATTTATGTGATGATTGATGTGGCTAATTTGATATTATTTTCAAATGTAATATTAGCTTTAATATTGAGGTACTGGTTTATTTCCATTGTTTGTGAGGATATTTATGAAAGCTGTGATATGTAGTTTGAATTTTTATGATTTCTGATTTTACTGTAATAATTTGATATGTTTTTTTGTTATGCCTTGATTTTTGTTTGAGTATCTATTGCAATATAATGCAGATAATTTGTTTTTCTTTACATTTTTTTTCTCTTATTTTAATTCCGTCGAGGACGACGTTTCTCAATGGAGGGGGTAGATGTAGTCAGTAGACAAAACGTCTACTTGTTTTAATTATTATACCTTCTTTATGCAATGTTCTTTGTTCTAGCATAAATCAAATCATTTATTTACTCTATACAGACACCATTTACATCAGCGGCACTCAGGAGGTGCGTCAATCATAACAAATAACTTAATGGAAAACAACTTAACTAGAACAAAAATTAAAAAGCAACTTAAAACTGTTTGGATATGCATATAAAATTACTAAATATACAAACACACAAATACAAATGTACTGTATAAATATAATTCGTAATTAATTACAATGATTTTAATACTGTAATTATATTTTAATTATCTTTCCTATTAATTGATTGTCTTTCAATATTGTAGATATTGAATTTAAAACTTTTAATTGATCTGTATTGTATTGTAATAATTTAGAATTGTATATTATAGTTTGTTAGGTAATAAATAATATTTATTTTAGACTGAATTTTCCAATTTTAATTACTTTAACAATGTAATTAACTATAAGTATATTTTTGTAGATTTTCTATATAATATTTTTTTAATTTGATTGTATAATGCTGCCTGTTTTATATTGCATTTTATCAATTTTTATGTAAAGCGCATTGAACAGAACCCTGAAAATGCGTTATATAAATTAATATTATTATTATTTTATACATATACATACACATACACATACAAACATATACACATAATATATATATACATACATATACATACATATATATATATATACACATAAACATACATACCCATATATATATATATATATATACATATATATATATATATATATATACATATACGTATA